CCGTTCAAAAATATTGAAAATAGTGCCGAGATCGAAAAGTGTTCCCACTTCCTTCAGTACTGCTGACGGATCCAGATTCCTCCATGTTATATTTCCTTTTGGAAGTGAACTTATGAATGCTTGTGCATCTGGCCTGAAAAAAAGCATTTCATTTACTCCAACTGCCGTTAGCTTAAAAAACTAACTGAGCCATCGGTCATTAATTCGCGAGGACCATTAAAGTTTTCCATAACTGATAAAGCAAAACATCTAAGACGTCATCCTAAAGGCGCTTCATCCCTGATAAGCTAGAAATCATTATTTGTACCTTCTAATTATTTTCACCCGTAATTTTGAAAAGGCAGTACAAAAATGCCAGGAGTCGAAGCAGGACTAGTCATATGGTAAGAATGAGAGACAACAGATGGACGAAACGAATAGTCCAGCGGTAAGTGGGATATTTTAAGAGAATAACAGAAAGATCATTCGCACGCTATATTAATCTACTAATTCGGATTTTTGCAAAGTTGTTGATGCGAAAAGCATCATATCGTAGTCAGTGGAAGAGTAACCGTCTGATTATGAATCAACAGGTCAGTCAGGTATTCCTGGTATAATTGTGTTTCGACTTTTTATGAAGCAGACATACCCAAAATTGAGCGGTGGTGATGGTCCAAGTGGCTTCGATCCTTCCCAGAAACAATCAATGGGTGTAATCCAAATGCACGGTATTAATCGTTCCAGCAATTTTGTCAATAATGATGTCAACGGTCCTTGAGGTAATTGTGGTGAAGGTGGTTTAAAGCATATATCTGATAAAGTCCAATTCCTGGAAAAAAAAAAAACTGAAACTATACACCTTTAAAATGATTCAAAAATAAATTAACGAGGAAGAAGGCTTAAATTATGTTTAAATAAAATGATTATATACCAAAAAAAATAAACAACAAATGATCATACAATTAAATATTACAATCAAATATTAAATAACAAATAACTGTGTAAATTTAATATATAAACAACTAAGTAATAATTACGCACATAGTTAATCAAATACACAAATAAACATATATGCAATTAAACTAAATACAAAAATATATACAATTAAGGATTATGTACACAGCTAAATGATAATTAAAACCAATTACGTAAGTAAGTAGTAATTACGCACATAGTTAATCAAATACATAAATAATTATGTATGCAATCAAATTAAATACATAAATATATACAATTAAGTAAGGATTGTGTATGCAACTAAATGATAATTAAAAACAATTATGTAATTAAATTAAACGATAAACAAACACGCCGGAGAAAATACAACTAAACAATGAATAATTACATATATATGTATAATATTACACATATGCCTATGATTATTATATACATGTATATAATATGTACATGGAATTTCATGATGAAACACAATCAGCCTTTTTTCGAACATTTATACCAACACAGACATGTGGTTGGTACATTAGTACTACTAGTTTCGACATATATAACAGTTTCAGGATTCTTTATCCATATCGGCACATGCCTTTAGCCTTGCTTTCAATCTCCTAGTTTTGGTGGAACAGTAGGAAGGCCAACGAAATGTCGAGACAATCCAGTAACTATTGGAGTAATTGGGTATGCGGAAAGCACAAAAAGAGCTCAGTTGAAGGGAAATTTGCCGCTGCATAGATGGGAAATCCAGACCATAAATTGATAGTTGTAAAAGAAATCCACATATCGGAACCAGTACGGCCTGTTGGGGGAAGGAGGCTTCTACCAGTGGCTAGCGGGAAGGAAGGGGGAAGAAAGGGTAAGAAGCGGGATGGAGATAAGGAGGGGAAGGAAGTGACTGGGGGTGCGGAAGAAAGTTTTCTTTAGTTTTTAGCTTTAGACTCAGACTTTTGTAGCACTGATACCTATGCCGCTGGGGCGAAGGGCCATTCGTCCACCCCCCTTCTAGACCCGCCTATGAATGCAGATCAAGTGTTGGTGGAGCATTAAGAATATCGACTTCTTGTTTACACATATTATTAGCCTGTATTTCATCCTCTATCATTCATTTTTTAAATTTTTTCGTAATTTCCATTTCTGGTCTGCAAAATGACTATGTCAGGCCAAGGCGTACATGAGAAAGCATTCCAGTAACATCACTAACAGTGAATTCACCCAGTGTACGAGCGGTTTTTTGGTATTCTTCTTGGCACCGATTGCCGATTTGTCTATCATAAAAACAAGTTATAAATAAGCACTGATAAATTTTGAACGACATAGTGATGCAGCAGCCACCCAAAATAACCGGCTTAGAGCGCTCCGTTGTTCAAATCCTGCCCGCAAGAAAACCAGTCCCTTATAGTGTCTTTCGTTCACCGGTGTAAAGAATTGGTAATATGACATGCCTACGTTAACTATACATACCCAAATAACTATACTTTAATTTGTTTTCAGACAAATTTATGCAGACAGTTCGGTGGCTACGATCGGTAAAAAAAAATTTTTCGGGTAAAGACAAGTTCTTTTTGCACGCACCATGAGTTTTAAAAATCACTCAGTAATTAGCGAAAAATAAGAAAAAAAAACTCACTCTTTGCACATTTCCATTAATAATAGCAATAAAAATGATAATAATATTAATGATACAAAACAAAACACAATGCTATGTTTTGTTAATAATACGAGACAATAAAAATACAAAACATAATAACAATACAAAACATAATGATAATGGCAACGAAATATTGATAACAGTGGTAACAGCAGTAACATTAATAGTAATAATAATAATGATAATAATAACGATGACAATAATGATAATAATAACAGTAATGACAATGATAATAATAATGATGACAATAATAATGATGATAACAATAATAATGATAATAACAATAATAATGATAATAACAATAATAATGATAATAACAATAATAATGATAATAACAATAATAATGATAATAACAACAATAATGATAATAATAATGACAATAGTAATGATAAAAATGATAATAATATAGTAATAGTGATAAATAATAATGATAATAATAAGCATAATAACAATGATAATAATAATAATGATGACAATAGTAAATGCCAGAATTTACAAAAATCGCAAAAGAAAAAAACTCACTCGCCAAACATTTCCACATGAAATTTCGCGACCTCTTCCATAATTTGGACATGTTTCAGTAAAGATTCTTTCGTTAAAGCATTTGTTCCTTTCACTGCAGGCGTTTGTATAAGAACCTGCATAGAAACCGGGGCATAAATTAACCAGCAAAAAAAAATCATTTTGCTTAACGCAAAAGTATAAATACTGAGCATTCGAGCTGTTTTCAAAGAGCTGATGCACATACATTGAACAGGCGATAAATAATACTAACTGGAGGTATGCAGAGCAGAATCGAAGGACCTGGCATAGCTAAGCCTGGCGCGCCGAAACATCCCAGTAACATCACTAACATTGGTATTTTTTTTTCTATTTTGCTATTTTCGTGAAATTTTGGTATTTTTCGTAAAATTACTGACAACTTTCTTTATGGTAAGTGCTTTTGAAAGAATGCTATAATTCAA